AGTAGAGATCAAATAATTCTCAAATTTCCGTAAATAATGCATGATGAAATTTTTACACAGCTATTAAAATGATACGAATATTATGTTATAAAATTACATCAAAGTATTTAGTAATTGTTTTACTCATATGCAATGCAGGACTAACATAGAAACCATTATAGATACGCCAAAGCAGTAAATGTCACATTCAACCAAGTACTTTTCGTTCAATTTTTTAGTAGTATACTGATAATATGTACGAGTGTGTATTACTTGTCAAAGCATATTGAACTGTCTGCAGCTGCATCTTTATTAGTATATACTACCTGCATGTGTGTACAAGTCTTCATTTACTGCTGGTCCGGAAACGAAGTCATGCTTAAAGTAAATATTATGTATTACGCTATAATCTATACAAAATAGATAGATACTTAATCAATTTTGTGAGTTAATGGAAATGGATACTTTTGGACAACTTAATTTTTTGTATAAGGATGCAAAATAATTTAACAAATTATTTGTCCGCAACGAATTTGAATTATTTTATATTTGAATACAATAAGAATATATTTAATGCATACACGTGCATGCACGCGCCTAAGACTATATAATAATATCATTAAGATTGTTCGATATTATTATATAATAATAACTCTATTTATATTATGTTAATAGAGTACGAGCATGACAGATGCTATATATCGTATGAATTGGCCATTACTATCAATAAATGAAAAAAAAGGATTGTTAATGATCATGATACGTAGCACAATTCCTATAAAGTTCACTAGCAGCTTCTTGATAACTTTATCCATTCAGTCTTACAGCAATGTTAGTATCATTTGGTATCCAAATAAATAGTTTGATGTAGTATATATCAAATATGAAGATACGCGATTTATAATATCGATATTTGTCGTGTATGTACGAAAATACAGTCGAAATTTTTTACATAAATGCATTATCTTCTATGTATATTAATGTTTTTCATATTTTTCTTTCAGATTTTGAAAACTTCATATTCAGCATTTAATATATTACAGAAATGAAGTATAAATAAAAAAAGAATATATTTGAGGATA